AACACCAGATCCCATTGGCCAACGCATCAATGATGGCCCAATAAGCGACATTTCAACGCTTGATCAGCCAATGACTGCTACACCCAACTTTTTTTCTCAAATCTCCTCCGTTGCACTAATGGAATCCTCGGCAGTTACTTTTGTTAAGGAGCCAATCGCAGTAGAAAAAAGTATTTCTCCATTTTCGAGTCCCATCTTTTCGCCTTTTCGATCCGGCTCGGCGGGTCTGATGTCATAAAAAGTTAAAAGTGAATGACCGCGAGTCTAGCAAAGTTGATAAAGGAGGCAATGTGTTAGAATTTCAAGTTCTCTTTCTACTTTTGTTTGCTTACTTACTTCAATATACACTATTAAAAAAATTTAATAAATACGATAATCATTATGAAATAATTTCTTTCAGGAAAAGTGGTGGTTAACTCAAATTATATATACAAATGAAAGGACTTTGGAAGTCACATGGTTCATAACCAAGAGGCCTTTAAAAAAGAACCTCTGCAATTCAGACTAGTGACGCCTCCTCAGCAGGACCACGTGCAACTCCAAAAGTTTTTGAAAGCTCGTGCGGCAGTAGAAGTCTAAAGAGCAGAATATCCACGTGTTGAGCGGCCAAGTGAGGAAGAAACAATCCTCGTTAAAACAGATAAGCCTGCATATGCAGTTGGTTTCGAATCGGGCCACCCAGCCCTCCACAACTCCAAACAGCTCGATCTTCTGCAGCAGACACACACGCGGCTGCTCACACAGCAAACCAACTGGTAATTAAATAAAAAAGTTATTATTACTATTAAATTTTGAAAACTAGCCGCTGACCAGGTGACACTGATTAGTATAGCCCAGTCAAAACTTGCCCAGTTGACTTCCGTCCAACAACAACTGGAACAAAAACAAGCACAGGTTGTGCAAATGTTGTCGGCCACAACTTTAGCGAGAGTGCTTGTGTCTCCATACGCCTTGAGGGTGGGGGCGATCCTAAGAAGGAACCCCACAGAACCTAAAGCAGCTCTTTGACCAAAAAAAAGCCACTTTTATACGTATCAACCAAAGAATAGTTTTCACATAAATTTATTTTTATTTACTACAAGTAGATATCTGGTGGCCTTGAGTTACTATATATATATATATATATATCCATCATTAGGTTCTTTTAGAACAACTGGCACAAAAGCAAGTGCTGAACCTACAAGAGCAAGAAACTCTTAACCGTATTAACATTGTGTATTCTCAACTCTATCAGGAGCTTCAAACTTTGTTCCACAAAATATCAAAGTCTGAAAACGAAAGCACTCAAGCGTTGTTGGGGCGCGCGACACCTCAACCTGCTTCTGGTTGGTCAGTGCCGGTCTTTATTTTTGTTTCAATTTTTATTACAGTTAGTATATTACAGTATATAATTTTACTGAAAAGCAAATCCAAAAGGCTGTAAGTCATATATTCACAAAACTTCTAATGTTGATTTATGTAAGGTGAAAAGGTCGTTTCTCTTCTCTCATTTGTTAATACTAGCATTAAAGAGTACTTAATTTTTTTAATTTTTTTTGGCATATGTTTGTCAAAATCATAGTCTAAAAATTAGACACTGTAAATATAAACTTACTTTATATTTATATTTTAATAAGTAGTTTTAATTATATGTTCTTTTTGTAGCTGCAAAAACTCTCGAAGAAGTCCTTTTTATTCGCGAATCTTTGAGTGAAAGGCCATATGTTTTCTTAAACTTTTTTTAAATAGACAAATGGAATCGAGTTTACAATAAATTTTTAAGTATTTACTGTTACTATTATCATAATCATTATTCAAATTTCGGTTTAAAGGGATTATAGGGGGCCAATTAAGTAAGATTTGTAAAAAAAACAAGCTCTTGCCTTTCATTGAGCTCGGATTGTAAAAGGCTAAATTATTTTATTCGTAGAAGGAAAGCAATACAACATAGGAAATTCAACTAACCGATGGCTTTTATATAGTTATGAATCATTGTCTCTTAAAGTAGTATGATTTCTGTTATGGATATGTCTACTTCTACATAATAGTGAATAAAACGTGTTAAAACTAAATTATTTGTTAAAGGATATCGACTCTGGTTTATAATAATTTATCTTTCTCAAGGTATACCAAGAACTCGAAGAATATTGAAGGGGTATGGCCTTGCTTATCAAAAGTTATCTATCTATCTATACACAAATTAACAAAGGAGACTAAAAAATTAAAGCTGATATATATAGAAGAGAAGAGTTTTTCGCGCCAGGAGTAGGAATTTTGGGGGGAGGAGGAAAAACAATTATTCTAATATTAATTTTTAACGGTATTTGCACATAATATATGTCTCATTGAGGTACGGTAGTCATAAATTACTATGAGTATAGGTTCACACTGCTACCCTTAGTAAGTATATGTCCAAGTAGGGTTGTAAAGATAAAAATATTAATCAACTTGAAGTTAATAAGTTATAGTTACAAGTTAGCGAAGTTCTACGGCTGTTTAGGATGAGCTGGGACTTGAGTCTCTAGAAGCTATAACAAAAACTTGTAAGTCAAGGCTAAAACATCGTTTATACTAGATGTATTAACAAAATAAATTAAAATCTTATACTTTACTTTATAATAGACTAGAATAAACTTAGAAGTTAAAAGGGAATAAGAGGCAAACTAGGTATACGCACTTAATTGAGTTAGTGTACTCACGAAAGCGCAATATCTCGAAACTTATGACTGGCAGCTGATACCGCACAACCGCAACAAGAGGCAGACAGAGGAGTTCAGGCGACGCAGTGATGTTATGAACTATTTTTTATTCTATTGCTAGCTTTAAGTTGTCATTTTTAAATCTTAGGTTCCAGCAACTTTTCGGTATTTAAAGTTATAAAATCAAGTGGTGGATAACTGACGTAAGATGTTACTACAATAAAATTATAAAAAAAAAGAGATTGGCATCGTACGCATGAACTATTTTATTCATAGCTCAGAACATCCATTAGAAGTTTCAACCAGAATTAACTAAGTAATAATTGATGTTAAAAGCTCAAACAATATAGCTGAGGTAAATGAGCACTATCCTCAAGTTGGTAAGTCCGCTTTACTTTTACTTATTTTTTCTTTTATATCTTAACTTAAGCTTAAAATAGTTATAACCTGATTTTTTTAATAAAATTGACAAATTAAAATTAATATAAAGCCCTCATTTTTTATATAACGATGAAGGGAAATTCATTATCACTTACGTGTTTGTTAGAGACGCTAAAACTATAACCTGTACGACTTAAAAATTTTTGAAGAACACTAGTTTAAAAAGTATATAAAAATAGTGCAAAGAAGAATCGTTGCCAGAAACAAAAGGCGTAGACAACATATTTTTGCTTTACACTTTCAATTTCTTTTGTAAGCAATTTTTAAAACTGTTAGATGAGCTATTGTTTGTTCTTGGAAGGCGCTTAAAACCCTCATGACATTCTAACCTCGCGTTAAGTCTGTTACATTGTCTACACGAGCGATAAGTGAAAACCGCCTATATTTTTTTAAATTATTTTTTAGTCGCTGCCCGTGTGGGACTATCAAATTTATTTATATTTTATAAAGTATACATAGAATAGTGTTAGGCTTCAACTGCTCGCTAGCACCTTGAGAATTTTTTCGTTTTAAAATCCTCTAAATTAGCTAATGTACTCCCGATACTTCTAGGTAGCTGCAGTGCACACCTATTTACTTTAAAACAGGACCGCTTTTTATGACGAAACAGTTAGATGGCTCGCACTGGGACGTTAAGGACTTGAATTTAAATAAATTTGAACTTTTCGCGCTACAGTCCACCCACCATTTCACCACAAACTATCCAGAGATTAAATCGACTCTAATCTGTCGCGGCGGCCAAAGTAAATTACCTGCCAGGAAGGTTTATAGCAATTCTTAGGTGTGATGTCGCCACATTCTCTTTGATTATATAAAAGAAACTTGCTCTGCATTGTAATCACTTTAGTCTGTATATATTAATTGGACAATACTTTAATTCTATATCGTTTATTACAGCATTCTTTACAAACGAAATGATATGCTTATTTGTATATGAATATAATTTTTAATTTAACGGGCAAGTTTCTTCTTTTACTAATAAACCAAACATTATATTAAATTGCACCAACCACCTAATATTTTTCTTCTTGAGATACATTTCTAAAAATCCTATATTGCAGTTTCTAATGACGTTAGAAAGAAAGTTTTCCTTATATATTAACAAGCTAAACTAAAGCTATTTATTATATAACAAAACTTACTCTTATTTATATTTTATTATTTTACTTACAATTTTTTAAAGCAAACCACTGAAAGGCGATATATAAATTAACATCACTTAAATAATTTTTAAATCTCAGGGAGACTAATGTAATTAATCCGAAGGCAGATCCCATGTTTTATACTTTTAAATATAATTTATAAACACTGTGAATATTGGTCGAAAATGTCAAAATACTTAATAATAAATTAAGTTTTTTTCAAAGTAATAATCAACTATAGCATATCACTATTGTATACTGAAGTATATATATAATAATATAATAACACGACCGCCTTAGTAATAATGTAGGTTTGAATTAAAGTAAAAAATCAACTACAGCGTATCACTATAGTTTACTAAAATGTATAGTTAAATTATATAATAACAAGCTTAATAATAATAGAAGTTTTTTTTGTATCAACTAAGCATATCACTATTGTATAAAGTAATGTATATTTAATTTATTTGAAATCAAAATGACTGCCTTTATTATGTTTTCTTCGATATAAAAATCGACTAAAGCGAATAACAATTGTATAATAAAATGAGTATTAAATTTATATAATAATAAGATGTCTGCCTTACTAATGTATGTTATTTTCAATATAGAAAATAACTAAAGCGTATCACTAATGTAAAATGAAAAATGTATATAGTTTATATAAAATCAAATTGACTGCTTTTAAAAACTCTGCACTATAAAAATAATTTTATTAAATTTCCAGAATTTGCCAGGAAAAAAAATTTATAGCCCATATTTTCCTTTCATTTGCTTAATCTGTTCTTCTTTTTTCTTTACATCCACTTTTTGTAGGGCTTTTTGTGGTTGATAGTAGAGCACAACTAAATATCTATTGCAAAAAAATATAACTAAATTCAAATAATAATAAATATTAAAAACAAAATTAATATTTTAAGTTAACTCGAATATAAATAAAAATTAATATTTACTTTCCAACAAAATTAAATGTGTACGTTAACAGAGTAACTTTTAGAAAACTAACAATTCAAAAAGCTTATAACTTACTAACTTCATCTACAAATTAAAAAAAGTTTGACTAAATATAATTCATATAAATTTAAAAAATATATATATGAACTTTCATATAATTTTAATTTATTTAATATTAAAAATAATTTTAAAAAATTACCAAAAAATTTAAAAATTCAAATTTTTTTTTCAAGTTTTGAAGAAACAGAATTTTTTTAAAAAAATAAAAAATACAAGTCTTATTTATTAAAATAATATAATAATATATTCTCTATTAAATAGATGTCTTTATAAAGTTTTAAAAACCTTTATTTTTATTTAAAATTTTATTCTTTACTGAAATTTATTTAATTTATATATTAAATTTAAGTAGTTACAAACTTTTTCCAATTCTTTTTATAATAATTTAATATTTTAAGATTTATCTGAAGTTAAAAAATATATATTTGTGAATATACATAATATATAACAGCCAAAAAAAAATTATTATTTAAAAAAAACTATAAAGAAATTATTTAGAGAAAGACGCGAATACATAAACCCTAACAAGACAAAAAGCACTGCGAAAAGTAAATCTACAGTAGAAAAGCTTAACAACGCAAAAATGAAACATCGCCAATAAATTTAGCCAACATGTTACAAAAATGTTAAACAACAAATCATGTAAAAGGCTTAAAAAATGATTAATTCAGACTGTCTGGCACTCTAGTCTTCAAAGTTCAGTAAAAACTGTTAGAATTAATTAATTGCTATTCTTATAAATACAACGGTAAATAGATTTTAAGTTAGTTTCCTTACTGATACAATAAAATTTATTATGTGCGTATTTCTTATTAGATTTAACAATTAGTTAAGGCGCCAAAAATATAGTAATAAAACGATTTCGTAAAAGTTAATTTACCTTCCCATTACGTTAAAACCAGAAAGACTATCATTAGCATTCTTTGCGTCGAAAATATCTTCATATACAACAAACGCTGTTCCCCTTGTTTCCTTGCTGGTTCCAAGGCTAAAAGTATTTAATTTACGATAACCAAAACTGCTTTAAAAACAAAAGAAAAAAAAGGAACCGGATCTGTCTAATAGGACCGTATTGACCAAAAATATCATACATCTCCTCCGCAGTAATTTTATAGGGAAGTTGTCTTTTAAAATATGATTGTTTTTAAAAAAAAGTAGAAAAGTGGATAAAAAATACTTACCGTACAAAAAGAATTCGATTTACTTCTGGGGGAAGGCGGATCTACGTTTAAGGTTCAGAGTAACATAAATTAAAAGCAAAAGAACAATAAGTATTATCCTTACGTTAGCCTTCTGTGCCGCGGAAAGAGACATCATTATAGAAAAATCACAAAAAAAAAAAGGTAAAGTAAAGTTTTAACAAGCCCTTTCAGAGGCATAAACTACGTATAACGGTGCTTTGTATGCCTACCTCACTGTACTTGCTACCCCCATTTAAGTAATGCGTAAACACGCTCAGCCACTATTTAGTTATGAGCAATCAATTTATCTTTGCTGCACTGTTTATTAGTTAATAAGGCTAAAAAATTACACACTGCACTCATCATAACCATGAATAGATATGATGGAAAAAAAAATAATTTGCGCGAAGTTTTTTCATTTTCTATTATTAAAATATTAGTTAGGATTTTCATTTAGCAAACTAGCGAGTTTCAGCTTATCAATCAAGAACAAGGTCGTGGTCGACAAAACTTTAGTATAAATCACTAGAGTTAGATCTAAAAAGTTTTTTTTATCTCTTGTAATCACAAAATTGTATTCATAACAGGTTGTAATCTGAAGGCCATACTATTTGCACAAGGATTTTTAAGTCAATAAAGGAGTTTAATTTTATAACTGGGCTATAGTGAATATCATAAACTAATTATTATTATAAGTTATTTAGTAGATATCACAAAATCTTAGTGATTTTCCATGTGGTAGTGTAACAAAAAGAATGGCTGCGCTTTAAGAGATTTGTACTACGAAGTACTATACGCTATCCGAAGCGACTCGGCTACGCCATAGAAGAGGGTAACATAACTAATGGAAGGTTTTGCCCATTAATATTTATATAAATTTGAAGATCTGTTTTATAATTTTGCCATGTTTATTAAAAGCAATGCCTAACAAAAAAAAGTTCAAATAAACGGTTGTAGCGGACATTGATATAATATTACCTACGACTCTCTGGGTTAAAATATTATAAAAAGTAATTTATAAGCGAGCAGGTATAACAAAACCTACTAAACAAAATGCGATTGATTAATTTTATAAATTCTTGTACATATTCTTTAAATAATGTTATCAAAATTTATGAGGGCTAGGTTAAGTACGCAACTGTCAAAACCATTAAAAGACGCGTCGGTGAGAGTGGAACCCACGACCTGGAAAGTGCGGTCCCTCAACGCTTTTAACCGCTGAGCTACGTCGACAACTCTCGACCCCGTTATGATTACTTTACGTATTTAACCTGTTAAATGCTATTTTCTTTTTCATCTTGCCTTCACAGTAAAAGTGGCTAATAAACAAATATAGCAAAAAGTGTAAAGTTTTCTAGTTAAATAATAATATAAATTGGGTTAGGGTTTTAAATATAATTTTTTTTCATTTTCGGTAGAGTTGATTAAGTCAGTTACATTTTTAGGTAAGAAGATAGTAAAATTTTTTTATTTTCCTACTTGTTATATCCCGACCGAAGTTTATAACCCTTCTTCAGATATTTGTGAGCCAAACTTACTCCAAGCAAAAAATTATGTACAACATAGTTGTTAGTGAGGCTAATCATTAAGAGATATATAGAACTGCTGAGAGTTAAAACAGAACGAGCTTAAATATAGGCAGGGCTCTTTAGTTTAATTAATTTTTTGAAGTGTGATACTTGCTGTATATCATGTGGCGATCACAGTGAATAAAAAATGTTATATACCAAGGAAGATCCTTTATGGCTAAGACATTTTCGTAATAAATATATCTATCGAAAAAATTATTTTTTTCAACTAATTTGTATATGTGTTAAATAATAAGACTCCCTCACCTTGCATTTAAAATGGTGGTGGCACTCCTCTGCTTTTAATATCTAATGACCTTTTACTAATTGTTAAAGTTAAGAGCGCAACTGTTTTGCAATAACCGTCTCCTGTTTATATCTCTGTCGAGGTTGATGCCTCATGCAGTGAACTTTATAAAATGCGCAGAATTGCAGCATTCTTTTTTAAGGAGCACATCAGCAATTTTGATCCAGCTTCTAAAGAGGGAAGAGGGCCCTCGTCTTAAGAAAAATTGAAAATAAGAGTATAGTCACAGTTTGAGAAGCCTGCCAAGTATTTACTATGGTAGCCAAAACGTATACCAGAAGTACGCTTTTGGAGAAGTCTAATTTTGAGTTGCTGAATTTTGAAGCCCTTTTAATTTATTATATGTGCGCTGGCTATTAGTTGACCCTTAAAGGGCATCGCACAATAGTATATAGGTGACAAGCGCACGTGTTCTTTATGAGCTAGCGGCTTAAAAGTTTCTTACCCCGTTTTTTACAAATTCAGCACATTTAAGAAACCGACATGTTAATTCCTTTATCGTTTGTATCACTAAAACATTTTTTTTCACTCCTACATTAACCCTTGCTATATTTTAATACAATTCTTAAAGAATGTAACGCTCTTCAAAGTTTAAATTACTTTTTTTAAGAGTCACTTTCAATTATTATAAAGCAATCTATTTTACTGACGAAAAAACGTAAATTGCTAAGGCCTTTTAATATTTAGTGTTCTTATGCATTAACTAAACAAACTCAATATTACACTTTTCTAGCTTTTAATTGGCAATATCTACTGAAAAAGAACAACCTTAATTGACTCGCTTAGATAAGAACCAATTTGTTTCTAGTCGAAAATATAAAACTGTTACTTTATGCTGTTTTTAATAAAAATACATATATATAATCAATTAGCGGATTTTAACATAAAATTTTCATAACAGTTATTCAATTAAAAAGGTATATAATTTTTTTTTTTAGCTAATTACTAAAAGGCAACTTCATTATTATAAAGTGGAAAGTAGTATCCAAGTTATAAGCTTACAATATACATTTTCTATTGCTTAAAAAGTTGACTTATATCTTACAATTTTTTTGGTAAGATTGTCAAGGTGCGGTTGTTCAACCTTTTATTCTACTTTATTTTCCTTTTAACTATTACTTTTATAAGAGGCTAAAGTTTTTAGTACTAAAAAGCTCAAGGGTTGGTTAAAGATGGCGGCTTTATAGGATTATCAATTCAGTGTGCAAAACGGGTTTGCCACGAGAGAGGAACAAAAAACATGCCCTTCTTGCTTAAAAATGAAATACTGCTTTTTTCAATGTCAGGAGAAATGGCAGCACCAGAGGCTGGATTGTAAAGAAACTTAAAAATAAATTAATCTTATTTTTTAAGATTAAAAAACGGCTCTTTTAATTTACAGCAGGCAGTCAAAACTAATATTTTTTAACTTTGTTACCGGTCTGAGGGAGAATAAAAATAATTCTATAAGATTTATTTTTTTCCAAAAAAAAAGTAATTGGCTACTTATAAACTACTGTTACGCATTTTAGCAAAGAAAACATAGAGGGTTCTCTGAGTAAAACAAGTATCAAACCTCGAAAACTTTTGCTAATATAATAATCCGCCCATTAACAGGTAAAAGTGTTGCATAATATAATAGCATTATAGTATAGTATAAGTAGCTGCTCCCAATAGTTTTATGCACTAATGCCTCAGACTAGTTTAATCAAGAATAACAAAGTCCTAATTATACAAACCAGTATCAGTGCTAGAAATTGAATAAGTTGTGCAATTGCTGTTCATCCTTTTTTAATAAAAAGCATTACTGTAAATAATCTTTATTTGTAGAATTAATTTAGTAAAGAGGCCGAAAAGACATCCAATGCAAAAAGCAACTGCTGTTTATATGAGTTTTTACCAAAATCTTTTATAGTAAAATTATGAAGTTTAACAGAAGAATAGGTAAAATATAGTATATAAGCACATTAAATATATTCAAAAGCTAACCTCCAAAGTAGCAAATACATATGAAAATCACGTATACAAGCAAATATTGTAGTTATTCTATAAAAATTAACCTAAAGAAGCGTAAAGGTCCCAAAAAAATTGAAATTTCACTAGTTCTACTCCAAATAAAAAATTATAAACAACAACTACCAATAATCATATATATACACATACGATAACCGCACTTTAAGCCAAGGCGCAGCGAGAGACACAATATCACATGACTTTAACTGCGATAAACTGTACACAGAGCCATTGCTTCGCTTGCGGAGCGTCTCCCTTAATTATTCAAAAAACAGTACTTTTACCTAGAGAAGTACGTAAAAATTTAAAATTAGTGTTATATATATAAGATGGCCTCCTCAAAAAATTAGGTAGTTTCACGCACTGAGCAAATATTTATAGGCAGGCATATCCAATTTGCGGTACGCTCAAACGCAAATTACTTAAACGATCATCATAGGCAGCAATAAAGTGATTATAATTTAAATTGTAAATATATACCTGCATAACTGAACTCAAACTAAAAATGTTTAAGTTAAGTACTAGGCCTTTGTATTATACTGATTAAAGGCTAAAAAAAAAGGAAAAGTGGTGCTGAAACAAAAATAGTGTTCACAAGTTGTCATCTGTAGAATAAGACTTTTAGTTAAAAAGAAGTTGGACCAGAATGCACCGAAGTCAAATAATTTAGTAAATAAACGAAAGCCTCAGTTTATATAAAAAAAATTTCAGTAAAAACAAAGTGCCGCGTTTGAGCCAGATGAACGTTGTGTTGAAAGCTTAAACGTGTTTAAAAATTCCGCCCCGCTAAAAATGCAAATTCCTCACCATAACTGCACACATAGCAGGAATGCCTCATACTTCTGTGAGTATTAAATAATTTTGAGCAAGTTGGTAACAGCTACCGAGCCCGATTTATTATTAATGTGATGGTTATTTGCAGCGTTCCGCCTCTTGCATTGGGTAGAAGCGTTGAGCTAGCAAAGTCATAAGGAGTAATTTATCACTACACCTTAGTCATCACTATAACGGATTTAATTATTAATAAATAGTTTTTTTTGTTCTCGATCGACTTAACAACTTCGAATATTCGAGTTTTAAACAAATTTAGTCGCCCATAAGTACAGATGATTTTTTATCTCAAAGTATCAGCGTTCTTCATGTTTGATTTAAACTCCTCAAGATAGCACTTACCCATTACCCTAAGAGTGGGGCATGCAGACAAGGTATTGTGCGCCAGTCCACGGCTCATAAATATGTTCTCCCTTAAAAATTCGAAACCCAACTCTCTGGTTTGAAAGACGAAAGTATTGCCTTACAAAACCGTGGTTAACGACTCAACC